CTGTATTCATTTCACTTAACTTCTCTGTTATATTGGTTGATGTTGGAATATTCAATCAAATGACACAGTGCTTGTAGATCTAACAGAAGTACCAAAGAAGGAGGGAAAGGGAGGGAGAAGGGGAATAGCTAGGATGGCGGAAGGAGAGGATCATCATTATACAAAATGCATGTATGAAGATGTGAATTTGGTGTTGACATACCTTATATACAAACATAAATATGATAAATGGTGGTATAAAGGTGTATTAAGAATTGTATGCAAAAAAATAAGAGAGCTCATGTATAATGGCATAATTTGGCATGAACATACTTTATATACAGAGTTAAAAAATTGTGCTGTGAATGGATAATTATGAATATAATGCACTCCACTATTGTCATCTATGTAAGAAATAAATGAAAAAAAGAAAAAAAAAGTACCAAAGAAGTCTTTCTATTGAGTAAGAGCTGCTTTGTGAGTAGAGATGAAATGCTAATGAGGGAAAGCAACAACTGCTACCTGACCATAGAAAATCACTAAATTGGAAGGCAAGTTCATCCTCCTTGATGCTTTAAAACATAGTAAAAATAAAATCATCAAATTAATTTTGTCAACACTAGCAGGACTTAACAAGATTACCTCAACTTATCTCTGTGTGTAGATGTCTATTGGCAGAATTTCCTAGAAAACTGCCTTTTAGATTTTGGGTCCTGAGTCCTCCTTATTATGTAACACATTTATATATAAGGAGCTTTTCTTCCTCTGACTACTACACTATATGTCTTAAATAAATTGAAGCCAACAACAACAAAAAAAGAACAAGAGGCCAGCAACAGATCTGGAAAGGCACGCCTAAGCAGAAAGACTGCTCTAACAATGAGGGTTTGTTCTTGCTAAAATTGCACAGTAAGCCCTGTCAGGTAGAGTGGGGTTACAAATATGAGATAGCTAGTTTATTCGTGTTCCCAAGTTGGGGAAGTTTATCCATGACTATCAACATTTTAAACCTAGATCCTAATGACAACAACCTTATTGTTAGGAAAATGTATTCACAGACATGCAAATGTAAGAGCAATGATGGTCACTGATTTGTTTGTAATTGCAACATCTACAACAATAGAATTATAAAAAACCAAGAAGCCTCTGCACAGCAAAGGAATCAATCAATAGGGTAAAGAATGGAAGAAAATATTTGCAAACTATCTGCGGGGGTTAATATCCAGAATATATAGGGAATTAAAACACAGCAAAAATACCCCAAATCATCCAATTTGAAAATGGACAAATAATCAGAATACACATTTATCAAAAGAAGACATACAATAACCAGCAAGTATATTAAAAATGTTCAGAACACTAATCACCAGGGATATACAAATCAAAATTATAGAAAGACATCATTTTACCCCATTAGGAATGGCTGCATCCAAAAAGACAAAAAAGAAACAAATGGAGGTGAGGATGTGGACAAAGGGAAACATTTATACACTATTGGCAGGAATGTAAACTGGTGTGTCTATTAGGAGAAGAGTATGGAGGTTTTTCAAAAAACTGAGAATAACACTATCTTATCATATAGCAATACCTCTATTGGATATATATCCAAAGGAAATAAAATTCCTATATCAAAGAAATAATCACATGACCAAAATCATTGCACCACTGTTCACAATAACCAAAATATTAATTAAACAAGATGTCCATCAACAAATGAATGGATTTGTAAAATGTGGTATATAGTCACTGGAATATTATCCAGCCATAAAAAAGGACAAAATCCTTTCATTTTCAGCAATATGGATGGAGCTAGARGGCATATTAAGTGAGATAAACCAGGCACAGATAGACAATTAACATATGTCTTCACTAATTTGAGGAAGCTAAAAAGTTGACCACATAGGAATAGAATTGAATAGAGGTCACTGGAGGCTAGAAAGGGTAACTGAGACATGGGAAATAAAGGGCTGATAATAGTGCCAAAATACAGTTGAGTGAAAAGTAGTTCTGAAATTCTGTTGTATAGTAGAGTAATTGTAATCTATAATATAATTTAAAAAAAAACAACTAGAAAAAGAAAATCTGAAGGTTCTTAACACAAAGAAATGGTAATACTTGAGGAGACTGAAATACTGATTGCTTGATCTAATTAGATACAGTKTATACATGCACCAAATTATAATACTGTACCTCATAAATAAATATAAACATGTTAAATAAAAAATCAAAATTAAAAAAGAAAAGAAAAAGAATCTCAAACACAGGTTTGATATAATCACCAAACAAGGCTTTATTTACCGTTCCTTAAATATACTGATAAGGCTAAGAGAAGTTAACTATATTGCTTTAAACTCTCATTCCGTTATTAGATTGTACCACCTATGGTAAACCATAAACGAATGTATACTTTTTTCGCAAATTGTATAATTATCCTGCTTTAGCACAAGCAGATTGCATTGCACTTTTCTTCTTCTGTTAAAAGCATTAATCTGGTTAAAATAAATATTCAGGAATATGGCATAGCTTGTTTAGACTGAGGGAGATCTATATTGTCTAACTGACGGAGAAGCCGTGCAATGGRAGGCTAAAGCAGGGACTCCTTTTTAGGAAGCATTTACACAAAAGTTTGCTGTCCTTATATCACAATTCATTTGGAGGGATTTGAGGCAGTCTGATAGAGGTCATATGAGAATTAAAGCCCTCGGCCTCCTTCCTGGCAGGAAGGTGTGCCTAATTCATATTGGACATTTCTTCAGTTTTTAAAATACTAGGGACCTCTAAGAAAGAAAATATCCTGGGCCCCTTCTGACTTCTGAGATGGTCTGGGGAACCCATTTGTCAATTCAATATGACCCAAAGGAGATTCCTCTTGGAAATACTCTGTGATCCAGAAGAACATTATAAACGTACKAGGAAAATAAKTAGAAAACCAAATGCCCATCAACAATGAAGGGATACATAAAATGTGGTACATACATACAAGAGAATCTTACTCAGCCTTAAAAAGGAAGGAAAGCCTGACACATGCTACAACACAGATGAACCTTTAAGACTACAGAGAGAAAAAAAAAATCAGTCACAAAAAGACAAATACTGTATGATTCCACTTACACAAGGTATCTAGAACAGTCCAGTTGATAGAGACAGCAGAATGGTGGTTGCCAGGAAAGAAGAGAATGGGGAGTTATTGTTTAGTGGGTACAAAGTGTCAGTTGTGCATGATGGGAAAGTCCTGGAGATGGACATTAGTGATGGTTTCCCAACAACATAAACGCACTGAACGTTACTGACTGTACACTTTAAAAGCAGCAAAATGATAAACTTTACATGATATGTATTTTACCTCAAATAAAATTATAAAACAAAAAACTAACAAGTAAGATAATCCTGCACCAAGCCAAATATGCATTAAGTGATCAGTTACATAAATCATGGAACGTGTGAAAAATTTTAAAAAGAATGAGGTAAACAGACCTATGCAAAGCTGTTCATGCCATGCTAGGAATAAAGCTGGTTGTAAAACATTTATACTAAGATGCCATTTGTGGGGAAAAAATGTATTTATATGCATATATGTATTTGCATGTGCACCAAAAAAAAAGCTTTATATCTGGGGTTACTTCTGTGGGGGAATGGGGAGTTTGTTGAAAGATTTTTATTTTCCATTTTAGATCTTTCTGTACTGTTTGAACATATAATGTTTATGTGTACTKTGCACAGAACATACTGTGCGGTTACAGAAAAAAGATAACTAAGCTAACATAAGTTTCCAAAAGATAGTATTAAGAACAAAAAGGTAGTTCAGAAATATTATGTATAATTTGACCTCATTTGTGTTTTTTTTTTTAAGTCATGTGTGTGAAAGTATTCCTAAATAGGCAGGAAAAGTATGTTCAACAATGTTACTTATTAGGAGGAGCAGAATGCTTCTGTGCAATCTGGATTTCAATTTCTTGAAAACAAAACAAAAAACTGAAAGGTCTCTCCCACCTCTTGATGTTGTTACATAAGGACTAGAAGGGATAAAATGTTAGTTTAGTCATTTCTACACTGTAGTTTTCAGAGTCACATTATAAATAAATTTCCCAAGATCTTTTTTGGATTCTAAAAACTTCTAGCCTAACTACAAACTCATCATTGCAGGTGAAAAATATGAAAGGCCATGCTTTGCACCAGCTCACATTGTATGTGTGTGGCAGGACCACAGCTAGACATTACGTACTGCTCCACCCTGCCCCTTTCCTACTGTAACTTATCTCACTGATAATGCAATAACAGTTACTGAGAGTCTACTGTATAGTAGGGACTTCAGTATATGGAACAAGGTAAAAAGCAGCAAGACACAGACTTTGCCTGGAAGAAATTACAGAGAATCCACAGAGTTCCTCAGTGCGAGGAGAACGTTTGAGCAGATCTCTCATCCTGTGCATCAGAACCAAACCTGTTTGTTCAGTTCTGAGACTCAGGCATTGTGGAGCATCCTGCATGGAGACATGGAGTCAGGGACACCCCAATCATTGTTCTTCCCTCTGTAGTCACCGCGTAGAAAACAAATAAAAACAAGTTTGTGTTCAATTTATTTCATGAAGCATCAGATATACATTAGCTATCAGAAAAGATGCTGGTTCCAGAGTAGCAGCAAGATAAATGCTGTTTCTGATGACAAGGAACTTACCTTCCTTCCAACTTCAGTAAGTGGTGAATAGGACAATGAACTCAAGATGCAGAGGCCGTCCATAACAAACAGAATTTACAAATGAAATTCAGAGGAGTCATGGAATAAGCCATAMATCAAATAATAAGCAAAGGATTACATAAACAATTAATAAATTACAGTCAGCATAAGAAAAGAGAAATACAGGATGCATAAGATCAAAAGAGATAGACCAAAGGGGGTTCTGTTGATCATGTGGTTTAATTGCTGAAAAACACTAATTGCTTGCCAAAATACTGTTAATGAGTGTTTTAATGTTGGTGGTCCAACACTGTAATGTGTAAAACAAGCATTTTCTCATACATACCAATTCCTTTAATCAGGTGGCAGTTTGGAAGATCTACAGATTCCACTTCTCCGGTGGCTTTAAGTCGATTTCTGTTTAAAACAAAACAAACTTTGTTTATATGTTCCCTGCTTTGTTCCAGAAAGGGTTTAAAGAGGCTTTTAGCAATACATAAAGCAGCATAAACCTAAAGCAGATGAAAGTGAAGACAGAAAAAAACAAGTATAGGAACATGAAACAGCACCAGAAAGAAGTTAAAACAAAAAGCACAAGGCGCTGAAGTTCTGCATATGGACAGGGCTCTGAGAGAAAGCCCAGCACTCGACAAACACAACTTGTTTATAATATAACAGAGCACCAGGTCACATTTCTTGCAGCTCTGGTGGGAAAAGACCTCAGATGTAGCTCTAGGAGTCCTTTCCACTGAAGAGCCAAACAATGAAAAATGGCGGTCTCACTCCATGTCTGAAAAAGGCCAAGACAAAGGGCACCACTCAGAGCCTGGCCCTTAGCACACACCCACAAAGAGTTACTAAGGAATACAATGTGTACCAGGGTTGGAAGTTTGGAGAGCACCATCTAACTTTGGCAAATCACTCCCTCTGGTTGTTTTGGGAGGCAGGAAGAAGATGAAATAAACTAGGGAATGTTGAACTCCACTAGGGTATTTCTCCCATCATTTCCACCCTAGAGGACTACAAGGAAGTTTGGGCCAAAACATGTGGAAATGACCATTTTGAAGTACACATACTGCAGGCTTTTTCTTCTCTTTTTCTCACCTCTCGGTTCTCTGGAGTCATGGGAAACAGAAATTGTATTTGCAGGGAACTTGGCGATTTTTAAAATGGTTCCACACATAGTAATCTGCCCCTCATTCTCCTATTTGAATCCCTGACAGCTTCTGACTTCCAGACACTGAATRTGAGAAAGGGTATTGGTTTCTTAGCAAAATAGGGTCTAGGTCATCCAGAACTACTAACTGGTTGGGCTAACTCTACATTCTGACAATTCATATCATAAAGCTTCTAAATAAAGTGTTAACCAGTAAGTATTTGGAATCATACAACTCAAATAATATTAAATTTCTTGAAATAATACATCAATGAAACAAATAATGTACAAATATAAATAATAATAATGTATAATGCAATAAAAACAAAATACATTAAAAAAATTAAATCAGAGCATGCTACAGGGACACTGCTACATCGATGTTCATAGCAGCACAATTCACAATAGCAAGACTGTGGAATCAACCTAGATGCCCTTCAATAGACGAATGGATAAAAAAAATGTGGCATTTATACACAATGGAGTATTACTCTGCAGTAAAAAATGACAAAATCATAGAATTTGGTGGGAAATGGATGGCATTAGAGCAGATTATGCTAA